GCCATTCACGGCCAGAAGAAAGTTACCCTGCATAGATGGGGTTACTTTCCAGGCATTATTGAGGGGGGGGGCAGTGGCTCAACAAGCATGGCAAATGATCAGGTCCTGTCCTGAATTCTGCTCTACACTTCATCAGGCCACACCCTGTCAATTGATAAAATTAGTTATTCAGCGAAATGAATAGGCAGCGGGCTCCTTTTGGCATGACAAATGCGTCTCTTCTACAGCTACGTCAAAACTACCCCTGCCCCAACCGATCTTCGTGCGATGAAATCTCCACCAAATCGTGCCATAGACAAAATGGTCTTACACGACCAGTACTAGAACCAGGACGGCCTGAGAGCATGAAAATGCCGTCTTTCACTCGTGCTAGTCTCAAAAAGTCATTGAATGAGAAAAATAAGCATTCCAGTGGAACTAGGGCTTGGATTGGAATTCTGATTGTAATTAGAAATTACTAGAACGCGGTTTTTTTTCTTACAAAGTGCTGATCCTGAGGGAAGGAGGGAGAGAATCGCACTGGAACCCATCCAACCGCTCGCCATACCTCGTTCATTTTTTTAGTTTCCTCGGCTTTCTGTCCTAAGCCAGCTTTCTTATGAGAGGATGGTAGTTTCACCCTCCAATACAAGCGGAAAAAGCGCTGTTGCAAAAACTAACCCGACCATCTCAACAATAGCCTCGCAATATCTCTTTGGTCTTCTCCACTGAATTCTTTAGGATTTTGCTGCAGTGAAGCGTAAAGTACTCACCTCCACTACGGCTCACTGGACGAACACATTTCACCGTACGAGTACTCGTGCCGCCTCCACAAGAAACTGAACAAGCACCAAAACCGCCAACCTGAATGCTTGTGATTGGTTTTGGGTGAGACCTACCCTTTTGCCCAAAAGGATACCTGCCAAAGTGGTGGACAAGCGTGTTGATTGCATTGACGGACGAGTTGTGGTGGGCGAGTTCTGGCGTCGCATTGAGACCATGGCACAGCGCGACCGGTGGCTGATTCTCGACATAGCAAGGGCAGCTTTTTGCTTTCCTGGAACACGGGCGACAATGGTAGTTATGGGATATTCATGTAGGGTCGACACATCAAGACACTTCCCAATAGCAGGGGAAGCAGAAAGCCCTACCGCCCAGACAACTGGCTGCGAGCATGGTCCCACTCTCCGTTTTCCGCCATTTGAATGGAACTTCTCGTGGTTGGTTTTCGAGTCTTCTTGAAGCGGACATGGACGAGCTTCACATGGTTCGAAAAGTGACGGCTGTGACTGGGCTGAAAAAGTACTCATGGGATTCAGTGCGAATCAGTATTGCCAATGAAATGTAGATTCATGTTGAAAGATAAATGTCAAAGTGCATACATTGACACTCGGAATACGGTAAGCGAATCATTCCCGCGATAGGATGTGCAGCCATGCATTCTGCTGAACGAGTTTGCACTCCCGGACCACATGTCGTCGAACATTCACTCCACGAGCTCAGAACTAACCTGAAAAAAGAGTTAGTTTTCCGAAATAAAAAAGAGGTGAGACCTGCGGAAGCTTCCAAAAAGACCTATCCGCCCAGCGTAAGGAGATAGTCCGCGGGTGCTGTCCAGATTAGAAAGAGGGGGCTCCGCTTACGCTTGTTCGTTTTCATGTTGAGAGGTTTCGGGGAACCCAAAAAGCTATTGCGAAACTGCGGAAAGGTACAAGAAGGCCTTATTCGTCAGGAGGAATCGCAGCCCCTCACGTGTTGGCCTGTCCAAGATTCGGTGATTACCATTTTAGTGCCCCACCAAGATTTGACTGCGCTTATTCCGATATTTTAGCTGGCTTAGGGAACAGGCGGGAACTCCAAAACCTTGCCCATCTTCACTGGTATGCGCTTCGCTTTCTGCACGCTGAGAGGACTGCACAATGGTTGTGAGCTTCCGTTGCATTTACCAGGATTACTGTAAAATGTGTTTTAAGCGGATGAGAACGATATTAGCTTCATGCGGCTTTCATCTGGATCAACTGGGGTGTCTGCCTGCGCTACGAAATTACATGTAGAAGACCGAGTCCGTTGTTTGAAAGACATTTGATGCTCAGGGTAACTGTTCTACTCCACAGGGGAAAGGGTGGGCACAGACAGGCAGTTCCGGCCGACTTCAAAGTGGAACGCTTAAATATAGCCTTGTTCGCTGCAACTGGGGCCTGTTAGAAGGCCTAGTTTGGCGCGGCAATGGCCCGCTCATTACGGTCTGCAGATAACATAAGCTCAATTCTCATGAAAGCTACAAGTTTCGTTTTCTCTGCGCTCTCACGCCTGCATAACATTCTGTGATCACTGTGACCGCATATGTCCCAAACTTTTGCGTATTATAAGTGGCTCATCTAATCTGGGATCCCTACCACTGAAAAGCTGATCCATGAGCCTGCGACAGGCTTCTTTACACCTTTCGATCCACCCTAGCAGCCGCTGTCCTCTATTTCGCTGCGCTCCAGCCTTTCGAGCCAGACCTCCACCAAAATTTTCTAGCCGTACGTAATATCTCCAATTAAGGCTACAACAGATACTCAAAAGCTAATTTTGGTTTATTTGTAGCTGCGAGTGGTTCCAACCTCTGGACTGTAAAACTTTCCACTCTCATCGTACGAGTTAAATAAAGCGTGAACATTTGATGTCGCCCCCTTTTACCCGAGAAGGAAACGTTATCTCTCAAGACGTAGATGAATTCGAAGGCCTAATCCGCCACGCATGCTTCTCGCTATCGAAGTTTCGGCAGAGAGCTGGAGATAGTAGGGTTGTCGCGTATCGGGATGTATGCAGGTTGTGGATTCTCACTGTTTGCATCAAACGGCAAGATGTTCTTAAAAAAGAGATCGCGGAAGTTTACTGTGAAGTGGAAATTTCCGCCGCCATACGCTCCTAAGTGTAGATGTCTTACTTAAATAAAAAAAGGAGCTGAGAGCTAGAAATCTGCCTTTCGGCTAGCTGATCCGAGCTGCGGCAGAAGACGAGTCGCATGCGCCGCACCCACAACAGGCCCAAATTAACTTGTTAGGTGCTACAGTAAGTCGAGCCAGCCAGCTAGGGAGTATCGCGAGCAACGCGCACGAGTGGCGCCTGTCTCATCTGCCTCACTTCTAGCAGACAAGTAAGCCTGCTCGCGGATGCTGCTGATGTCCAAAGTGTTGATGACAGTTTTTCATTTAGGAATGCGAAACAAAGGAAAAACCCGTGATTCAAACCTTGGTGAATGGCCATTGCTTTCAACAGGATTGTACGCTGATTCGTCGAGGAATTTTCGGTCACTCCAATCGATTCTGAAAATAAAAAAATGGCATCAATGAAAGGTTTACTAATGAATAAACAATCTCATAAGGGCAGCAGGGATGAAAAACCAGAGGCTTGGCCTAATTTTTTTAGGAAAATTCTATTGATCAGCTCCATGGAAATATGCTATGCGGGAAATTATATGCATTTTCCCATCCGGCTATCCGACGATTGAATTATGGAAAACTTTAACGCCTTCCTTCCCTGGAAAGTCCATGAAATTTCGATGACTATAATCAATATCGTTGCGGAGGAAATGTTATTATTTACCTGTTGAAAAGTAAACAATAAAATAGTTCACTGGCACAAAGCTAAGGCTGGGAACCAGGCGATGTCGGCGTTGGAAATTTTCAGCGAGGGGGGGGGGGGGGGGGGGGTGGGGGAATCGTAACTTGCCTTCAGATTGATTAGGTTTTCTCAGTTTTTCCTCCCCGTTTTCTTGTGTTGCTCAAGACTCCTCTCACTTTGGAATTGGAAAACACATCTTCTTGGAAGATTGGGGGGGGGGGCTTTGGGGAAAGCTCAGGAAAAAGGGTAGGAAATCTGAACATAAATTTTTTAAGATGTGCAGTAGAATGCGGCGGAAGGGGTCATAGCCAGAGGACACGGACTTCAAGGAGGGGGTCCTATTCTGCGAAATTTTTCCATCAGCGGCAGGACGTGCCTTGGCGGGAACAGAATACTGTCATGAGAGCGCACAGGCAAAGTGGGGCGTTCTCAGAGACCCCTACCCTTTTGGTACGCAGGTACTCACGATCAGGATGCTGGCAGTTCACCCTATCTTAGTTTTATTCTGTCTAGTTTTGAAAAGAAATCGCCTAGACGGATTCCTTCAGAATACGCCACGTACTCAGTGCTCTTTTGAATCAGTTATTTTAATTAGATGCGAGTGCGGTTCCTCATCAATCTGTGTGACATCTAACCGACATACAGGCCTCCCAGACTATCCTAATGCTAATTTATGAGCGTAAATGACATGTGAAAGGACGATTTTAATGTCACTGGGTGAACATCGATCCAATTGTTGCCCTAATTTCCTTTATTTGTATTTATTAAAGCGCTTGTCACCACTACTTTCCGCCCATTTCACAATTAACACTTTCAATGCCGTACATTTTCTTCTTCGAGATACGCTTCATATTCGACTCGGGACGAAATCTTAGAGCAAGTTCGATGCTTATTCGAGCCTTAGAAAAGGAAATCCAAGGCTTTTTGGAGAAAAATCTGCTTTTTGGGAAGACGGTGGACCAGGCTTGTAAAGGAATGTCAGGCATAATTGATATCAGACTTAATTGGCGACAACTGATTCCGGGCGTTGCGTTAAAGGCAGCTTGTGAGCTCCCTCATCCCCTCACAAGGGCCTGTAAAGAGAGTGCGTCTACTCCAATGAAAGGCTGAGAACGGTTAGATGAAACTCCGTAACAGGAGCACTGTTTAAGCCAGCCCTGCTTCAGCCTTCACTTTTTACTTGTTCGTTTGTTTATTTATGTACCCATTTATTCATTTCTATGAGGCGGAGGTGGTGTAGCGACAAGTGGCGCGCTTACCACTCGCGCGGTCCTTCAAGTCCTCTGTCGACTCCCGCCCAGGCCAACCAAGCCTTCTACCCTCCGGGGACGGTAAATTGGTACCAGATTCGTCTGGGAGGAACACTGACTTGTACATCGGCTGGCCACCGCAAGTCATTGTATAGGCCACATCGCATTCAATAAGCCACTACGATTCTGAATGGAAGTAGAATGCGTGCCGCATCCCACAAAGGGATTGATCAACGGCGAAGACTTTATCCTTTTATTATTATTTATTTTGTGCCCAGTAGAAGAGCTGGGTCTAAAGTGAACAGCT